GGCAAACACGTTGTGCGCAAACCGAAGCAAGCACGTAGTGAGAACTACAAAGACGTGGAGAGCATTGAGCAATATGCATTGAGAAAGATATAGGTCCTCCCACTCTCTGGCCTACATCCTCCTTCTCTAGAACCGCGCATCGAACTATCAACCACGCCCATACGCAGTCAGATACGCCTTACTATACGCCGGGTCATTCACGCGCAGCAACGCAAGCTCCAGAAGTCTTTGCGCTCGCGCGATAGCCACCACAGCCTTCATAACAAAATCCTGCTTCAAACGCCAACTATCAGGGTATACATTCTGGACAGCATCGTCTAACGCGGCATAAACTTGAGCGAGCGATTCTTGCGCCTCCTTCACCCAAGCGCACTGATATGCGCGGTCGCAATCTGGAATACCGTATTTGATGTAAAGAATCTGGGCGTCCAACTCATCGATACCACGAGCTCCTTGCGCTATGACTTCGTCGACGCATCGACTGAGTTGCTCCTCGGGAATGGACTGGGGAGATTCTGGCACGTCGTATAACGACAGCAGAATTGAAGGCTTGGGCAGTGGATTGGCCCCATGGTCGGTGTCGCATGGTGGTTTGGCACTGGTGGCTACATCGGAGGTACTTGCTGGACTGTCTTGGTCGTATTCTTCGTATCTGACGTTAGGACTGAAGCTTACCCGTCGCGAGTGGCTGGCCTTGGGGCCTTTCATATGTGTCTTGTGATATGGATCGGCTGCTCTCTTGGCCAGTCGTGTGAATGTGTCGTAGCGATATAGATAGGCCTCTAGAGTGGTAGTTGGCGGCCCGCCTCGTGCGCGGAGTCCATGGCGTCCCTCGATTTGCGCCGTGTTTGGTGGTCTATTCTTCGACGGTTCGGCAGCTATCGTCGTGACACTAGTCTGTGTACCGATATGACAGACTTTGTTGCCCTCTAATAAAGTGCTCTTTTCTACCGATTTGGACTGGCTATACTTCGATGGCCCGGTAGTTATCGGCGGGACACTGGTCGATGTATCGTTGACACTGGCTTTGTTCTCATCCAACACCTTTGTTCTTACTGGCATAGCCTGACCCGGCTCAGAAGGCTTAGTGTTCGTAACACTAGTGGGTGAACCGAGAGCACCAGTTTTCTTCCCGTCCAGCACATCGCTCGTCTCTGCAGATTTGGGCTCGCTAGGCGGAGGTGGCTCAATGCTCGTAGCAACATCCTTCTTTACCTTCTTTACCACACCTAAACGGCATAGCCGCTTGATTGACTCCTCGAGGGCGAATGAAACAGCTGTTTGGGGGGTCTTCGGCTTTGCAGAGCGGATGTCGGCGTCGATTTTGCTAGCCAACTCTGCTCGCTCTTGATGCACGAGACTTTCCTGCAAGAAATCAAAAGCAATCGGATGCAGGGCCAAAATAGTCTTGCCACTGCTTTTCGAAAGCACATAGCTGCGGAAATTCGGCTTGGTTCGAGCTTCTTCGATAGTGGTTTTGAGAGACCATGTCTGGACGGTCTGGGACTGGTTGTCCATGTTTGCAGAAAGGGCGCGGATGCGTTGAGATTTGTTACAGGATGGTGAAAGAACAGACCGAGGCTGAACAGTGGTGGCCGAAGGTCTCCTGAGTAGAGGCAATTTGGAACTCGATGGTCAGTGGAGTTGGCTCTCATAACAGTCAGGTGAGGTTTATGGCTGTTCGTGGTGTAGACTTGTAGACCGCGCCGCCCCCTGCCATATCAGGTTCTTGGTGAACCGCAAACACGGATTTTTCACGCCACGATCCAACGATCGGTGGTGATTCACTAAGCTCTAGGATCACGGACCCTGTTCCCTGCTTTCACAGCAATGGAATCGATAGCGTTGAACTTTCAACGACCTTGTCAGGAGTCACGCTCAGGTGATGTGGACAATACCGTCGTAGCATTACTGGTCTTTTCGCTGCGACTCGTTCAAGATCAATACGGTGGGTCCAAAGTCCTGCTCCTCGAGCGTATCACTATTGATTCCTCTCATGATGTTGTCATCCCGAGCTTCTTCTTCCGTGGCAAAACGGTAGCAACGCGTCTCAGCTAGGCCAAAGCGCTTGCCCTTCACGAGGAAAGCTTTGATGCCTCGATGCGTGACGACAGCGATGTTGCCATACGTCGCGGAAAGTTCTTTCAGTCTTCTTCGCACTCCCTCAGCACGCTCAGTAGCGCCTTCAATGCTATGCTCTGGATAATCCCATTCTTCATGGCACTCAGAGAAGTCGAATTGAGGAAAGTTTGACGCTAGCTCTTTTCGCGACAAGCCCTTGTTGCAGACGGCGTCGTTGGCTTCTCGAAGATCGGGCCAGATCTGAACGGGGATGTGAAACGAGCCTGCCTCCGTCAAGAATGGAAACATGTTTATCGCAGTTTGTATAGTGCGGGTCATGGGCGAGATGAGGATCAAATCTGGCTGGACTGAGAGATTAACGCGTTTGGTGGACACGTTGCCGGCTTTCGTCAACGGCGGATCTCGGTGCGGATAGCCGCGCTGGACGTTGTGCAGTGCTTCGCCATGGCGTATGATATGTACACGCGCTGTCATGATGTTCCTACAAGCAAGTGGATGACGCGGGTGTTAAACGGAGGAGCACTGAAGACCGCTGCTCAGGCCCCGGGGGTTATCGATAAGAAGGCCTGAAGCTTAGCATCGCTTGAATCTTCGAAGCTCCGCTCCTGCGCGCTCATCTTCCACGTCATTGCACATATCGTCGTCAACTTCCTTTCTGAATGCACTCCGGAGCTACTGGCCAGGACAATGGATTCGTTGCATCTTCATCACATGCCCGAGGTATGCAGCTGCAGCTGGGCCCCCTTCGACGGCGCATGAACTTGTTCAGGAGATGGCGGCACCCACCGTCATCGATGCCAAGGTCGCCGAACGATCTCCGCTATCGGATGTTGCATCGATCTGCATCTGATAAGATGAGATTGATAAAATTCCCCACCACCTACTCCGCCGGAGCCAATCGCGAACACCGCACGTACGACGTCAACCTCTTTTTTAGGCAGAAAGCTCGCACTGCGACAAGGTATAAGAAAACTCTGCGAGTGTCTTTCGGCCGTAGCATTCGTGCAGTGCCCTGTTGCTGATGGGTACGCGATGTGTTCTCGAGGCGTGCCGTGGGGCTTATAAGAAGCAAATTGAGGACTGTAGTACCTTCAACATCTAAGCTTCTGTTGTATTTGTTCTCTACCCGTCACACCATGCGGTTCTCTGGCGTCGTTCTCGCCTCGCTGGCGTCCATTCTTGTCCATGCGCAGAACAATACGACCTCATCCTGGCCATGGCAAACCTTCGAATCTCGCCCTGGTTTCGAGGTAAGTTCTGGCTATACGAAGTGCACGTGGGACATATACTGACTTCGTACCCCTACCTCTGCAGCCCCCGGTACTTTCGGTCAACAAGACAGGTGACACCTCACCGGGAGTTATCACCTTCCCTCAGAGTGGAAGTGGGGCCCATAACTACAGTCTGAACATCTTCCAAGAAGATGGCGAGTTGATTTGGCAGTCTGGCTACGGCGACTACGCCGCCTTCAGGGTCTCTGAGCTCTTCGGCGAACCCGTATTGGCCTACTTCAGTGGCATCTCTCTCACAGAACCCTGGGGTTTCGGTTACGGGGTAATCTACATTCTCAACCAGCAATACGAGAGCATCTACAATGTCACTCTCTGGAACGAAACGTACCCACTCGAGAGCATCTATCCGCTGTACGATCCCACTCAGTACCAACCTTTCAGCTGGGTTGATATGCACGAGAACCTTATCACTCCTGAAGGTACGATGTTTATCGCCGCTGTAAATGTTACACCATGGGATCTGTCATCCATCGGCGGCCCGAAGGATGGGTGGGTTGTGGATTCCATTGCGCTAGAGCTCAACGTTACGAACAGCGAGATCCTTTGGCAGTGGAGTCATCTTGACCACGTGGACGAAGTCTCGCTCGAAAGCGCTGTGCCAACGTATCCGCTTGGTGAGCTAGGCAAGAACAGCAGTTACCCTTGGGGCCCTTTCCACATCAACTCCATCGAAAGATTTGAGGATGGAAGTTACTTGATCTCTTCAAGGCATTACTGCTCCATCTACAAGGTTTTCCAAAACGGCACCGTGGCATGGACTTTGAACGTAAGTCTTCATCCCCGTTCCCATCCTTCCAACGGTACGCACTAGTGGTGAGCGCCATGCTAACGAAATTCCAGGGACATTCCGGTGGCGACTTCGCCCTTGAGAATGGTCTTTCCTTCTGCTACCAACATGACGCGCGTATTCATCCGTCTCGTTCGCCCAACACCACCACCATCTCTCTCTTCAACAACGACAACAGCGCCGTCGTACCCAAAGTCAACGAGACTACCGGAATCTTCCTCTCCATCGATGAGCGCACGATGACTGCGACATTGCTACAAGAACTCGCTGATCCAGACGATGTCATCTACTCGGTCAGCCAAGGCAACATGGAAGTCCTTCCCTCCAACCACTCTATCATGGGATACGGCAGCGTCCCAGCTCTGAAGGAGTATGACCAAGATGGCAACGTTGTGTTGACTGTGAAATGGGGAGAACCAGAGAAGGTGCAGAGCTACCGCGCCTACAAGGCCGAGTGGGTTGGTAAGCCGAGCACAAAACCTGATGTCTACGCCTGCAAGGCGAGCAACGGCACAGAGGTCTACATGAGCTGGAATGGTGCCACGGAAGTTGACACGTGGACTGTGTTCGGTGGTGCATTCAACGGAACCCTGAGCAAGGTCACTAGCGTTGAGAAGTCTGGTTTCGAGACCAAGGCAGCCCTAGGGGAGAAGCTTGGGTTTGTGAGGGTAGAGGCAAGTGGCGAGAACATCGAGACTGGTGTTTCGCGAGTCGCAGCAGTATCGGAGATGTGCTAGACTGTATGTGAACGTTAGAAACGCGAGAGGCATATCCATAGAATGATAATAGATGCATTATCCGTCCGTATGTATTGATCGACAGTTCAAACTACGCTCAGCCTACCATGGGTAGCCTCCTGTATTATGAATAAACTTTCCACATTCCTCGTCTCTCTTCCCGTCAACAAGCTCCATAATGCTCTTCACGGTGTCCTCCGCACTCCTTGCACCGAACTCCACCTTGTTGTACGGCCCTAGATTGGAAGCTGTGAAGCCAGGGTCGTAACAGAATACTCTCATCTTGACGTTGTCCTCCTCTTTTGATGCCTCAGCATCGCCCTCCCCAGCCTTCTCGAAGTCCACCTGCGGTATACTCAGCCCGTACTCCACATACATACACGAGCTGATCATGTTGAAGGCGACCTTGCTGGCGCGGTATGGGACGGCTTGTATCTTGTACATCGGGCTTTCAGTGGAGAGACGGCGGCCGATCGACCCAGCCCCTGAGGAGATGTTGATGATGCGCGGGTTCGCGCTCTTCTTCAGCGACGGAATGACGGCGTTGGTAAGAAGCCATGGGCCTGTTGCATTCACGTCGAAAGCCGTTGCCAAGCGCTGGCGCTCCGTCAAGCCTTCGGGCAGCGCGACTGCAGCATTGTTGAAGAGAATGTCGAGTTTGCCGAACTTCTTCTCAATGAGTGTTGCGGTTTGCGTGACATGGTCGTCGTTCTGCAAATCAAGATGCACAAGCTCGATGCTACCAGAGAGCTTGCGTGCTTGCAGGTCTTCGAGGGCGGCCGACCCTTTCGTAGTCGATCGTGAGGCAAGGAGGATGTGATATTGACCCCGCTTGAGGAGCTGGTGAGCGATCTCAAATCCGATGCCGCTGTTCGCTCCGGTGACAAGAGCAATCTCTTTAGCGATGGACTGCATTGTGAGTGATGTGAGGATATGAAGATGTTAAGGTAAAAAGAGAAGTGTCGCAGTGACTTTAAGATGGCTCAACATGGGCTTAAAGCCACAGTAATATACGTTTCCTACCTTCGTGAGAGTTTGGCTACCGCCGGACTTACGCGTTCAAATTCCGCCATGATGCGCTGCAGTCGGCCTAGCGGTCGTGCCGCAGTCGTGTGTGTAAACTGTGTCTATACGTTGAGACGGTCATTTTACGACTAGTCGACGTTCTCGGACGGATGAGAGTAGGCCAGGCCGAACTATCTGGACGCCTAAAGGCTTCAAGCCAGCGTTGGAGGCGCGGAGTACAGGTTTTGCACTTTCAATCGCCGGCGCTAGCATCAAAATGGACTAGAGGAATTGCACAAGCACCACCTGTGCGCCACGAGCGTTATTAAGAGCCTGTTTAGTAATTATTATACAAATTTTAATATAAAGAAAATATAATTAGACTTTAAAATATAATTTATTAGCATTCTACTACCTTTATATCTCTTTATATAATAATTAAGAAATAAGTTTATAGAATAAACATTCTACTACTATAGCTTAATAAAATATTTAGTATATTCTACTACTATAGTATAATAGAATATTTAGTATATTCTACTACTATAATATTTATAGTATACGCAAAGCATTCTACTACTATAGTATAATAAAATATCTAGTATATTCTACTACTATAGTATAATAAGAGTATTCTACTACTACTTATCTATTCTAAGTTTATAAGTATTCTACTACTATAGTATAATAAAAGTATTTTACTACTACTTATTTATTCTAAGTTTATAAGTATTCTACTACTATAGTATAATAAAAGTATTCTACTACTACTTACCTATTCTAAGTTTATAAGTATTTTACTACTACTTACTTACTCTAAGTTTATAAGTATTTTACTACTATAGTATAATAAGAGTATCTTACTACTACTTATAAGCCTAGGCCTTCTTATATTCTACTACTACTTACTTATTCTAAGTTTATAAGTATTTTACTACTACTTACTTACTCTAAGTTTATAAGTATTCTACTACTACTTATAAGCTTAGGTCTTCTTATATTTTACTACTACTTACTTATTCTAAGTTTATAAGTATTTTACTACTACTTATTTACTCTAAGTTTATAAGTATTCTACTACTACTTATAAGCTTAGGCTTTCTTATATTCTACTACTACTTATTTATTCTAAGTTTATAAGTATTTTACTACTACTTATAAGCCTAGGCTTTTTTATATTCTACTACTACTTATCTATTCTAAGTTTATAAGTATTCTACTACTACTTATAAGCTCTTAAGGCCTTTATATATTATACTACTATAAACTTATTATAAGTAAAAAAAAAGATAGTAATAGATAAGACTTAAACTTAAATATAAAAAAAATAGTAACTTTATATATAAGAAATTGCCTATCTAGTAGTTAAGTAGGTATTTTAGTTAAAAGCTAGAGGTTACTAGACTAGTAAAAAACTAATATACTAAATAGTAGTACTATATTAGGCTATTATTAATAGAGAATAATTAGATTTAAAGCTTTATATAGTACGTAAGTATAAGAGAGCTAGTAGAAATATAAAGTTATAATAAGTAAAAACTTTATATTAGTAGCTATAACGCTAGCTTTACTAGTATAGTAATATAGTATATAAATATAGAAGATAAGTAATTAATAGAGGGTAAGAAGTAATAAGTAATAAGTAATAAGTAATAAATATACCTTTTTTAAGACTATAATCTTACTTATAGCTATTAAAACTTTAGTCTATAGTAATTTTTTATTATATAATACTTTTTATATTAATAATAATAATAGTAGTAACTACTTTAAAATATCTACTTCTAACTTTCTTTTATTTAGCCTTCTATTTAGCGCTTTATATACTATAATCTTAGTACTACTACTATAATTTATTATGTAGTAGTAATAGTAGTAATAGTAATAAAATAAGCTTTACTAGAGTAAGTTAAGATCTAGTATAGTTTAGAAGCGCAAGTAAGTATAGTACTACTATTATTAAAGTTAGTAACTATATACTAATAGTAATATAGCTTACCTTAGAACTTTACTTAGTATACTTAGCGTATAGTAGCTATGCTACTATTAATAATTACGTCTACGCCTACGCTTACATCTACGCCTACGCTTATTATTTCTACTTCTATCTTTTCTACACTTTTAGCGTATAATAATAATAATAATAATAATAATAAAAAGATAAAGATTACGCTAAGCTAAGTAGTAATTCTACTTACTTTTATAGGTAACCTTACGTAGTAGTAGTAAGAGTATAGTAGTAGAGGTTAAGTAAGTAAGTAAATAATAATAAATATAGAATAGCTTGCTTTTTTCTTTTCTCTATAAGATATAAGTAAGTAGTACTTATATAGTACTACTACTATAATATATAGATATTTACTAGCTTTAAAGTATTTAGCTTCTATATTTTATTTTAGCTATTTAGAGTACTACTTAGAGAAATAACCTAAGTATTAAGTTAGAGTAGCGTTATAGATTAGAGTTTAAATACTAACTATAGTAAGAAAGTAGAGTTTAGTTAGTTAGAATTAAAGTTCTTACTATATACTTCTTTCTATATATACTATTCTATACTCTTACTACTTTTTAAACTTCTACTAGTAATTATTAATAAATAAGCTACTAGCTATATTCTAGAAAGAGAAATATAAAGCTAGTAGTCTTCTACTTTTTACTAATAGTAAAAAATTAGAAAAGCTAAATAACTAACTTAAAGTCTTTAGTAGAAGAGTTAGGTAAAAGAGGTATAGCGTTAGGCTCTTCTACTTCTTACTAATAGAGAAAGATTAAATAAGCTAGGCTTTTTAGGCTAGCTTTTAATAAAGTATTAAATATAGCTTTAACTTTAATAAAAGCTATAAGCTAACTAAGATATAATAGTATAGAAACTACTAGCCTAGACATCTAGCTACTTTAGTGCGTAGTAGGTATTACTAGTAGTAATCTTTAAGTGCTAAAAGCTATTATAGCTAATAAGAAAGCTAGTAATATATTTAAAGTAGTACGCTTTTATAGATATATAGTACTTAAAAACTACTATCTAGAAGTTATATTCTTAGTGTAGGTTTATAAAAGTATAAAGTACCTCTATAGTAGCTAAGGTAGTAGTAGTTCTAAAGGTAAGCCTAAGTTAAAACTATTAGTGTTAGTATAGAGTTATAGAAGTATAAGGTACTCTATAGTAGCTAGAGTAGTAGTAGCTAAAGTAGTAGTAGTTTTAGAAGTAAGCTTAAGTTAACTTATTACTAGCTTCTTAAAAGCTTTAATACTATTATTAGTAATTATCTTATAAAAGTGTAAGGCACCTCTATAGTAGTTCTAGAGGCAAGTCTAAGTTAACTTATTACTAGCTTCTTAAAGGCTTTAATACTATTATTAGTAATTATCTTATAAGTTAATAATAGTACTAATAATACTTTTACTAGAGAAGGTAGTAATAATAGAGTACTTACCTAATTTAGTAGTAGTACCTTAGTATACTACGTTTCTTATAGCTCTCTTACTAAGAACGTAGTATTTAGTATTAGTAATCTTAACTAAAAAGTAGTTAATTATAGAATATATAGTTTTTATAAAGATATATATATTAAAGTTAGATAGTATAGGCTTAAAAGAGGTCTAAAGGCTTATAGCTAGCGTGCTTAATAATAGTTTTACATAGTTTATAGTTATTTATAGAACACTAGTTATAGTAAATATATATAGTAAGGTTAATAATTATAAGAGAGTTAGTAATAAAAAAAAGATAGTTAATAATAGCTTTAGTAGCGTAGCGTATAGGCTTAAGAGGTCTAGAGGCTTATAGCTAGTATTATTAATAATAATAATTATAAAGAAGTTAGTAATAAAGAAGAGGTAGTTAATAATAGCTTTAGCAGCGCAGCGTATAGGCTTAAGAAGTCTAGAGACTTATAGCTAGTATTATTAATAATAATAATTATCTAAAAGTTACGTTCTTAGTGTAGAGATATAGAGGTAAAAGGTACTTTAGTAGTAGTAGTTCTAAAGGTAAGCTAAAGTTAAGGCTATTTAAGAGCTTATAAAGTAGAAAGCGTAGTAAACTTAATAATATAATCTTTAATAACTTTACTAACGCTAGTTATAGATAGAAGTAAAATAATTAAAAATATAAGTATAGCTAGTTAGACTTTCTTTTTCTATATAAGACTATTAACTTAGATATAGAATCTAAGCTTTAGGTACTATATATTATTATTATAGTCTAAATACTATTAGTATATAATAATAGAAATATAAACATGTAGAACTTATATCTAGCTAGCTAGAGAGAAGTAGAGTAATAGTAGAGATCTTAAGGCTAAGAATCTTAACTTAAAGATTTTTACAAATATAAGTTTTTATAGCTTTCTTCTTCTAGTTACTACTAATAATCTTAGTTTTAAAGGTTTTCTAGTTCTATAAACTAGTATTAAGAAATTTAAAAGTCTTCTAGTTCTATAAACTAGTATTAAAAAATTTAAAAGTCTTCTAGTTTTATAAACTAGTATTAAGAAATTTAAAAGTTTTCTAGTTTTATAGACTAGTGTTAAGAGATTTAAAAGTCTTAACTAGTGTAGAAGTAGGCTTTATTAGAGTACTAGAAGCTAATAATACTACTAGACTAGTTCTATAGACTAGTGTTAAGAAATTTAAAAGTCTTAACTAGCGTAGAAGTAAGCTTTATTAGAGTACTAAGAGCTAATAATACTACTAGACTAAGCTAGATAATAGTCTCTTATCTAAAATCTCTAATCTTATACTTTTTTTCTTATAAGATCTTTCTTCTTTAAATACTCTATAAATAATCTATACTCTACTAGAGTACTAAGTAGCTTTTCTATCTAGAGAGAAGTAGTACTAAAAGCTTAAAACTAATATTAAGATAACTTTAGAGAGTAGAAAGGTAGTATAGTAAGAATACTAGTATA